ACCCCACAGAAATGGCAACCTGCATTCCCGCGGAAACCCACACAGCGGCTCCTCCTTGTCCATGGTTTTACTCCCACAGGTCCAGCTAACCACAGTCAACCACAGTTCACAAAAGTTAGATGGAAACTTCAGAAATACACAATTCCTAAGTCTTAAATTGCATGCCATTCTGAGAAGCTTGGTAAGACCTCTGGCAGTCCACTGTGTCTCCCCCGGCCCAGCACACCCAGGGCTCAGTGGCCCATACATCACTTAGCAGCCATCTCAGTCACCCAGTTGACTACCACAGTGCTTGTATTCAAGTTAGGCTTGTTTTACCAAATAACGGCCCCAAGGTACAAGAGTGATGATGCTGGCAATTTGGAGACACCAAAGAAAAGCTGCAAAACGCTTCCTTTAAGTGAAAATGTAGAAGTTTTTTACTTACTAAGGAAAGGAAAAAAAAAATCATAGGCCGAGGTTGCTAAAAATCTACGATAGGAATGAATCTTCGGGGCCGGCGCTGTGGCGTAGCGGGTAAAGCCCTGGCCTGAAGCGCCAGCATCCCATATGGGCGCCGGTTCAAGACCTGGCTGCTCCACTTCCAATCCAGCTCTCTGCTGTGGCCTGGGAAAGCAGTAGAAGATGGCCCAAGCCTTTGGGCCCCTGCACCCGCGTGGGAGACCTGGAAGAAGCTCCTGGCTCCTGGCTTCAGATCAGCACAGCTCCGGCCGTTGCAGCCATTTGGGGAATGAACCAGCAGACAGAAGACCTCTCGCTCTGCCTCTGCCTCTCTGTAGCTCTGCCTTTCAAATAAATTAATTAAAAAAAAAAAAAAGAAAGAAATTCATGCCATCTTTGGTGTTGCACCTCATACTGCAACAGCTATAGCCACAGGGTGTGGCAAGTGTTTACTTAAGATGGAAAAGGCATTAAATGTGTACATTGAGTGTATAGGGGAAACCAGTGTACACAGGGCTCGGGACAACCCACAGTTTCGGGTATCCTCTGAGCATCTGGGGACACAACCTCACAGAAGAGGGGGCTCATAGAACAAACACTCACAGCAGCATTATTCATAATGGCCACAACAGGAAGGCACCCAGAAGTCCATCAGCTGCCAAACAGATAAACACGATGTGGTACAGCACTCCCTCTGATCCCCAGGGAATACCCCGCGACCCCACAGGTGCCTAATGACGCACAGGACTGACCTACTACATATTCCACGGTTTTCCCTATATACACATACCTATGATAAAGCTTAATGTAGCAGTTAGGCACAGGGAGAGGATGAAATGAATAATAAACTGGAACAATTCTAACACTATACTGTAATGAAAGTTACCTGCGGGGTGGGCCTTGAGGCACACTGGGACACTGGCATCCCATAGTGGGGTGCTCTGAAGCCGGTATCAGTAAAATAAGGGGTACTGAGACACAAGCACTGTGACAATCAATGAGATGGCTGTGGGGGCTGGGAAGCGACAGCTGTATGCATGGACGTCCTCGCTACCTGGATGACTCATACTCCGGGCAGGACACCATAGATCTCCCGGTCCCAGGAGAACACCCAATTGGAACCTTGCCGCTGTTTTAGACTGGGTAACTGGAGCTGCAGCTGAGAGGGGACCACCCCACGGCATGTCCAAACAACACAGAGCCACTCAGTCATGAGGGGCTGGGTTCATGGACATGGGAAACAAGATATTCAAGGAAAGAAGGCCATCACAAAAGGCCACGTGTGTATGTGTCCAATTATGCGACACGTGCACAACAGGCAGTCTACACCGCAGAGTGGATTCATGACTGCGCAGCGAGGGATGCTAATGGGCACCAGGCCCCTCTCCGGGGAGACTGCAGTTAAGGTAGCGATGATGCTGCTACAACTCTGTGAGTGCACAAACACTACTGAACTGCACATCTGACTTTTAAAAATTATGTATTAATTTTTATCTATTTGAAGGGCAGAGAGGCAGGGCAAGAAAAAAAGATTTCCACCTGCTGGTTCACTCTCCCATTGCCTGCAACAGCTGAGGCTGGGCCAGGCCAAAGCCAGGAGCAGAAGCTTCATCTGGGTGTCCCACACGGGAGTGCTGCCTCCCAGGGTGCACAGTCAGCAGTTAGAACCGGGACTTCAACCTAGGCACTTGACAGGGGAGGCAGGTGCCCCAAGCGGTGTCTTAACCACTCCCCCAAATGCCTGCTCCTAAACTGTGTACTTTAGTATACTTTAACACCATGGATTTTATTGTAACTAAATTAATTATGGTACCTCAACTTAAAAAAAATTCATACACTGTCAAATAGGGTTCTCAGGGTCCACTCTGTTCAACGCCAGCAGCCCAAGAGATGGGACCACTTGGAACAGTTCCTGGGAGGACAGTGCTAGCACAAAGGTGAAGAGAAGCGTTCCGCAGAGAGCTCCCAGCCTGCAGAACAGACTGACCGATCCTTCAGGGCCTGTTTGTTCAAACTCGAGTGGAGATCTAACCGAGGGGTTCTTAACCAGGGTGACTTTGCTCCAGGGAACATTCGGCAACGTCTGGAGAGAGCTGTCGTTGCCATGACTCAGGTGGGAAAATGCTACTGGCATCCCGAGGGCACAGGCCAGGGGTGCTGCTGCAGGATGCACAGCACAGCCCCTCACAGCAAAGAACTATCCAGGCCAAAATGTCTCGGTGCCATAGCTGAGAAACACTAGTTTAATCTAATGGGTCTGCTGTTTTTTTAAATACCTGAATTTATATAACCTAGGGACTTGTGTGATAATAGTCATTTCAAGTATCCCTAACTGTTCCAACTATGAGAGGATATCTCAAACCAGACCCACAGTTCTAGACAGGCTTCAGGCAAACCTGTCTCAGAACAGCACACCAGGCCTTCCCATGGTCAAACCCGAAGCCAGCCAGACACTCTCCCGAGGAAGGCGCAGGTTTTCACCAATGGAATTCACTTCCAAAGGACTGCTTATCAAGTTTCATCCTTAAATGGCTAAGCAAAGCCTTCTTCAATTCTACTATTTCTTAAAATATTAACTAGTAATTTTTATCTGAAAGGTTCATATAACAAATATAATTTTTTTCTCATATAAGGAAAAAATTAAAAAAAAAAAAAACGTGAAAGTGTTAACCACAGGCATTCCTGGTATACGCTAAATAAAATCCAAGCGAATATATATATATCCCATCTGTAAGCCCCGCTCTTCTCCCCAAGGCTGGCACTGTCACCGAACCTCTGAACTCTGCTTAGCACTCCCAGAAAGGTTATCCATCGCATTCTGAAACTACTTCAAGAACGCTGCATTTTAAACATGGCTGGGCCTTTAAAACCATGACTCACAGGTCCCTCCCTGAAACCCAAGACCGAAAAGGGAATGGATTCTCTGCTATCTTCATTACAGAAAGGAAAACAAATACCAATTATCTGAAAATCTCCCACCCAGAGAAAACTGCTCCTACCATTTTTAGAATCTTTATTTCTTTCTGTCTACTTCAAAGGCAGGCTAAGAGAAAGACAAAGATTTTCATCTGCTGGTTCACTCCCAAATGCCCACAGCAGCCAGTGCTGGGCCAGGGAGAAGCCCGGATCCTTGACTCCAGCTGGGTCTCCCACCCGAGTGGCAGGGGTCCGAGCACTCACCTCCCAGGATGCATCAGCAGGAAGCTGGATCAGAAGCAGAACAGCCAGGACTGAACCAGTATTCCAATGACGTGGCTTATCCCAAGTATCGCAGGTGGTGGCTTAGTCCCTTAACCACAAAGTCCACCCCATTCCTACCATTTTGATGTATAACCTTCTAGAATTCTCCATATAAACTTTTTTACCCATACAAACTTTTCCTTTTTAAAAATGAGACCAAAGTCTACATACTGCTGTGCGACCTGCTCTCTTCCTGTCACACACTCCTCCTCTCTGCAGCTATCCCGTCATTTCTTCCCAGCAGCACAAAACCCGACTGCACGGCTTTGGGGCCTCTGGTTCTCTAACCCCCAGCTGTACTTCTAGCTACAGTCCTGGAATGCTTACCTCTGTTACATATGCTTTCTGTATCCGCCTGCTTCTTCCTTAGAATAAACTCTGAGAATTCAAACTGTTAGGGCTTTCAACATTTGGTTTAAAACTGTCCTTCCTGGGGCCGGTGCTGTGGCGCAGCGGGTTAATGCCCTGGCTTGTAGTGCTGGCATCCGTATGGGGGCCAGTTCGAGACCCAGCTTCTCCACTTCCAATGCAGCTCTCTGCTATGGCCTGGGAAAGCAATAAAAGATGGCCCAAGTGCTTGGGCCCTGCACCCACATAGGAGATTCGGAAGAAACTCCTGGCTCCTGGCTTTGGATTGGCACAGCTCCGGCCGTTGTGGCCAACTGGGGAGTGAAGCATCAGATGGAAGACATCTCTCTCTCTCTCTCCTTCTCTCTCTGTAACTCTGACTTTCAAATAAATAAATAATTCTTAAAAAAAATTAAAAAAGGAAAACCTGTCCTTCCTGAAGTGTGACAGCTCATTCAGTCACCAGCCCCCCATGACTGTTCTGCTCCCCAGAAGGTAGCGTGAGCTCACTGCCACCCGTCTCCCCCCGGAGGAAGGTGTCTCCCTCAGCTTCAGCACCCAGATGATGCCCCCCAAGATGGCAATACTCCGCCACGACACACTCATCTCGTAACTAGTCTCAAGCTGCGCACCAACAACTCAACGGCGGTCCCTGCAGATGCCAGCTCTTCCTGCTGTGTCCTCGCCCACGGGGATGGAAACCAAGCCAGCTGACACACCCACAGGCCACTTTTGCTAAACAGAATGTCTAACTTTGGTGGGGGAAAACTTCTCTGTGGCCACCGTCAGCCGAATTTAAAGCAAATCTGTCCACAAACATTGCTTCTGCCCACACGCCATCCCTAACCAGAGTGCCGCTCCTCCACCTCCCAACCTCACTGTCCCACTCCAGCCACCTCTCCTCAAAACGGAGGCCCACACTGGTTTGCTGCCTAGGGCTCTGGCAAAGGTGCAGCCCGAGGGGAACTCACGTAGAACTGAAAATGCAGGAAGTGGGCCAGCACCCTGGGGGCCACGGCAGGGAAGGCGGCCAGGAGCGTCTGCAGGTACACCTCCAGATCCTTCTCCCGCTTCTCCACCAAGCTCCGCGAGTTCTTCCCTATTATCTTCTTGGGCGGAAGCAGATTCTTATCAATCTTCCTCTCCGTGACAAGCTGTAAGAAAACACAAGCACATCAGAGACCAAGAGTCCCTGCCCACGTAAGCCCAAGGCGCAGAGCTGGAGGGCAGGTGCTTGTCTTCTACTGCCTTCCTGGCACCAGTGCCACGATTAGGGATCCAGCCAGCACACCCAGGATCTGGCCTCTTCAAACCCACATGGTGTGGGACGCATCAACACAATTCCAAATGAGTAACTCCATTTGGGGACTCTGGAAGCAATAGAAAAGTTATACGTCTGGTCCCTAGAACTGCCATCTTCTCCAAACGAGGATGAAAACCAATCAAGAAGAATGCTTGTCTATAAACACACTGCCAAAGGCCCAGGGAGAGGCAGCTCTCTCCAAAAGCAAAGAAAGAAATGGAATCCTGGCCAGATATGAAAGTACAAGCTGTGGACCGGCTACAGTTAACTGGACCAAGTTCAAACCTGTCCCTATCCCACTGAGGACTGACAACTTTTTTTTTTTTTTTAAGATTGATTTATTATTTGAAAGGCAGAGTTACAGAGAGAGAAAGAGAAACAAAGATTTTCCATCTGCTGGTTCACCCCTCCCCACCAAATGGTGCAACAGATAGGGCTGAGCCAGGCTGAAGTCAGAAGCCAGGGGCCCAAGCACTCGGACCATCTTCCACCGCTTTCCCAGGTGCATTAGCAAGGAGCTGGATCGGAAGCAAAGCAGCCGGGACCCAAACTGGCACCCACACGGGATGCCGATGCTGCAGGTGGCAGCTCCATCTTCTGTGCCACAAGGCCGGCCCCAGGACTGGCGATCTTAAAGCTGAAATTCAGAAATTCAGATATGCCCCTTGAAGACTGTCTCAGGGGTCCACCAGTTCCTTTTTTTTTTTTTTTTGACAGGCAGAGTGGACAGTGAGAGAGAGAGAGAGACAGAGAAAAAGGTCTTCCCTTGCCGTTGGTTCACCCTCCAATGGCCGCTGTGGCCAGCGTGCTGCAGCCGGCGCACCGCGCTGATCTGAAGGCAGGAGCCAGGTGCTTCTCCTGGTCTCCCATGCAGGTGCAGGGCCCAAGCACTTGGGCCATCCTCTGCTGCATTCCCAGGCCACAGCAGAGAGCTGGCCTGGAAGAGGGGCAACCGGGACAGAATCCAGCGCCCAGACCGGGACTAGAACCTGGGGTGCCCGCGCCGCTATGTGGAGGATTAGCCTAGTGAGCCGTGGCGCCGGCCTCCACCAGTTCCTTTCACAATTACATTAATAGGCTGCTTTAGCAAAGAAGTAAACTACAGGCAAGCAGCCTATTTTGCCTTAAAACTCATGTGTGGCGTAACAGGAACTTGACCCCAGCGCCCCAAGCTGAGACACAGGCTCACAGGTTACCTTTTCATGTAGATCATGGAAGTCGCTGTAGCGGTGCTTGACCGTCCACTCGTGGCCGCCATCAGTGACCCGGATGATGTAAACCTAAAAGGGGAAAGCAATAGCCCTAGTGGCCGGGGGAGCCAGCCCACAACGGGTCCCTCTCCCCACAGCGATGACTTCAGGGCCCTCAGAGAGCACCCTGCTCCTAAATGGCCAAAATTAGAGACTGTCCTTGTCCAGCGGCCTCCGCACTTGACCCCTGTTGAGCAGGGCATCCCTCTCTCAGACCCCGAGGCTGGGAAGCTCAGGAGATAGGCCTGTGGCTCCACCCATCAGTGAGGACTGGAAACGTGACTGTACAACAAGCCACCTCTCTGGTTCGCCTTCTGCTCCCAGTGAGTTCAAACCCAGCCTTAGCTGCAGAGGCCACCCCTTCCAGGCATGCAGAGCAGGGCCACGACCAGCGAGATCAGTCTCTCTGCCCTATCTCTTTCCCAGTGCCCTGTCTACCTCCTGGAAGCAAATCCTTTCCCCACTTTTTCAACTGGTTCACGGCTATGGTTTCTGGCGCTGAGGAGGAATCAAGGGACCAGGAAGCTTAGGGGGAGGCAGTGGCAGGCAACGGCGCCCTAACAGGCAGGCAACGTGGCTTTCCATTTGGGAAGACCTGGGTCCAAACCCTCGCTCTGCCGTGTCCTGGCTGTGGCTTACGCATCACTCATGTAGGTGAATAGGAGCCCAAGTTCTGAGCCTCAGTTTCTCCCTCTTAAACTCTGGTAGGTTTAAGCAGCAAGGAAGTTACTCATACAAAATGCTGCCAACAGGGCAGACGTCATCCTAACGTCCAACGAGGCAAACCCAGGGACAGATAATGAGGGGGCCGGCAGGGACCCTCACTTCCCCTCCACACACTGAGGGGCTCAGCCCGATATGGAGACCCCCTCATGCTACTGCAGCCCACAGAGGAGGGACAGCCAGTCCTACCCCTCGCCTAGCGGGGCCCCAGTCCAAGTTTCCTGCCCTTCTCAGTGGCAAGCAGGGAACTGAGAGAAGAGTCACTTCAGCTTAAGCCCGTGGCTCCAGGACCCGCCCCAGTGCCTCTTCCCACCCCAGCCCCCAAAGGAGAAAGAGCCAGAGGAAAAGCCACCAGGGAGGGGCCTTAGAAGGTGGACCAAGAGGGTGGGCACAGGGGCAGGGTCAAAGCCCCCCACCTTCCAGGAACAAAGCACAAGGCAGGAGGTGCTCACTGCATCCCAACCCAGGGCCGCTTTTTGCCAGGTACCCCACCAGGCTCATGGCTTGGCACCTACCCTCCCCTACTCCACGGTCAGAAATCAAGCCCCCTTTCTGACCTGTCTCCCCTGTGGCTTGGAAGTATGTGCCAGGGCTTGCTGCCTGCCCCACCTCCGCCTACAGCCAAAGCCACGGGGTTATCCCACGGTTTCTGGATCCGCGTTCAAGTTCTGAGACCACCCCCCATTTCCCCACGGCTGGCCTCCACCCTTCTCATCTCCACCAGATCCCCAGGGTCCCCTGTATACCAGTACAGCCCCTCACTTCTCAGAGCACATCTCTGCCGCCATCCCAGCCACCCCCCAGCAAGCCCCGCCCCCTCTCCTTCCCCGCCGGCAGGGCCCTGGTCCTTAACCCTGACTGCATCCATCACGGATCTTCCCCACACATCCCCTTCCCTCTCGGACCCCCTGACAAGGCTCCCCCCTCTCCACGGCTACCACCCCTCCAGGCCTAGAGGATCTAGAGGGGGTCCGCATCATCTGGACAGCCCCTCCCTCCCCAGAGCCCCTTTATTCCCAGATCCTCCCTAACCCAAGTCTCCTTTTCTGATCGCATACCCTTTTCCGGAACCCTCCCTGCGGACCTGCAGAACCCAGACCCCTCCCCAAATTTCCTATCCCAGGCCCCTCTCCTCGGAACCGCAAACGCCTCCACCCACTCCAACCGGCCGCGGGACCCTGACCCCTCCTCATGCCTCCTCAACACCCTGACTCCGGCTGCCACCCCTGGTGCGGGTGCCCACGCCCCCAGCACACCGTATACGTGTCCACGAGCTCGGAGCCCACGACGCGCGCTTCCTTGGCCGGCTCGGCCTCCCGCTCGGGCCCGAAGCCGCCCGCCGAAGCCGCCATGTTCGGGGCTCCGCCGCCACAGCCGCTCGGCGCAGACTGGCAGCAGCAGGGGGCGGGGTCAGCGTCCCACCGCCCCCAGGCACCCGCCGCCCCCCGCCCCCGCCTCGCGCTGCGCCGCCATCTTGGCCCCGCTGCTGTCTCAGCCTTCGCCCCGCCCCTCGCGCGCAGTGGACGGTAGCCGCCGCCGGCGCGCATGCGCACCCCGCGGGACCCGCTCGCTCCCGGCGCCTGTGTTTGCGTGGCGCCGCGGCGGCGCAACAGAACGCAGAGTGAAGAGTCCCAGCCCTGGAGAAAGGAGGCTGGAAGGCTTGTGGCCTTCTGGGCTACGGTTCCGCCCGGCTCAGTTTCTTTCTCCGGAAAAGAGGGCAGTCGTAGCGCATCCCCAGGCTGTCAGACTCATGCCCCTCCTGGCAGGAGACAGGAGCTGGGCCCGTGACTCGGCCAGTCCCAAACCTCTCCAGGCTTGGGCATCTGCTGACCCGGTGGCCCCTGGAGAACTTAGCGAGCCCAGCACGGAGTAGTCTGCCAGCCAGGGAGTTTATCCAGCGGGAGCTCCGCAGGGGTGGGGGCGGAATCTGGAGAGGAGCTGGCATGGTGGGTGGAGGGAAGGGGACGGTCTGGCCGCTGTGCGCGAAACCCCAGGTGGTGTCCTGCCTGAGCGCAATGTGGGGGGAGACGGGCTGGCCCTGCCCGCCCCCGCCCGGGCAGGTGCCACAGTGCTGCCCAGGGGCAAGGAAGCCCTGACCCGGTGGAAGACCCAGCTACAGGTGAAGACGCTGGGAGGGGGAGGTTTCTAGGGGTGGTATCTGAGTGCAGCTGGCTCAAGCACGGGGCAAACTGGAGGCCTGGGCCGTGGCCTCTCTGGCACTTCCAGCTGAAGGGCTCCGGATTACCCGGTCCTTCACCGGTTCCATGGCACCGTGCCTTGGCATTTGGCATCTCTCCGCAGGGCCCTGCACCCCCCGTGCTGGCCTTGTCCCTCACTTGGGGAGGGTTCGCTTAAGGCAAGGGCTGCCGAGACTGCCGAATCTTGGCCAAGTCAGCACTCCTCCAGGGCCTTGGTCGTGTGCATCCCCACGACTGGGTGGAAGGTTGAGCTGCCGCATGCAGGCGTGGCCTGAGGCCTCTACCTCCCCCCATTCGTTCAAGAAAGCTGTCTAGGGTGGCAGAGCGGGGCAAGCCACTGCTTCCAAGGCTGGTGTCCCGTCTCAGACTGCAGTTCGAGTCTGGACTGATCTGCTTCTGATCCAGCTTCCTGCTGATGCGCCTGGGAAGGCAGCAAACCATGGCTCAAGAACTTAGACTCCTGCCACCCATGTAGGAGACCAGGTTGGAGTTCCTGGCTCCCGGATTCATCCTGGCCCAGATTTGGCTGCTGTTTGGGAGAGTGTTCCAGCCAATGGAACCAGCCCTCTTTCTCTCTCTCTCCTGTTATTCTGCCTTTCAAATAAAATATCTTTTAAAAAAAAGAAGCTTTTCTAGGGAGTCTTACGTGTGGTGTGAGGGGCAGAGGGCTGCTCCTTGCAGCCTTGCATCTGCTCCCTGCCCTAGGCAAAGGACACAGGGAGTCTGGCCAGCCCGAGCTCCCCGGGACGGGGAGGGGGCGGAGGACGCTGCACGCCGCGGTGGGCTGGGCTGGGCCGGGAATGCAGAGCAGGGCTATTTAAGCCGAGGCCCAGGGCTGCTGGCAACCCCAGCAGCCGTCCTGTGAACTGACAGCATGGATGACATCTACAAAGCTGCGGTGAGGAAGCAGAGGGGCAGGGCTGGGGTGGGGGAGCCGCTGGGAACTTAGCCCAGAATGGGGGCGGGGGGACCCCCAGCAAAGTGGGGGGGACCCAGGAGAGGCCCACACAAACATGCATCTTCAAAGGGACGGTGGGTCTGGCATTGGGGGGGGGTTCAGTCGCGTGGAGCTGGCAGGGTGAGTGGAGGGGGTCAGAGCCTTTGCCGTCAAGCCCCCTGTTTCCCGTGTCTGTAGGCTGTTTGCCCATCTCGGCCACATCTCTGCATCATGTCTCCGCATCTCTCAGCTCCCCTGGAGCTGCCTCTCTGAGTCTCTGTGGCTGTCTCCTGGCCCTCCCTGCCCCTCGCAGCCTGTCGCTCGCACCCTTGCAGTGCCCCTCCAACCTCCACTTCCTAGCTGACTGGAACGTGGCCAGGGGTCGTGAGGAGCAGGCTGCAAGACCCGAGTCCGGGCTAGGGAAGCTCAAGGCAGGGAAGGACTAGGTGTGCGTGCAGGAGAGGTGGGGCAGGGAAGACGGGAACCGACAATGAGGGGCCCAGCCCACGGGTAAACTCAGGGCTCAGTGGTTTAGCTGGGGACGAGGGTCAGGGAGCAAGGGCTGGAGAGTGGTCACCCCAAGTGCCTGCACCCTGCTGGGGTCACTGAGGGGCTTCAGACCCTGTTCCATCCCGGGGGGGTGACCTCTGCCCCGGGGACAAGCACATGGGAGCCCAGGCGCTGTCCCCAGGGGAACCCTCCCTCAGCCCCTTGAATGCGGCCCCACTCCTAGGCAGGGAAGGGCTATGGCTGGCTGTGGGGGTGTGCCCACCCACCCCCACCGGGGGGGTGGTGGAGGCAGCCCTCCGCCCAGTGCCCATACATGGCCTGGCGGGGCTGGGGACTAATTTTGGCTCCCTAGGCGACAGCAGTAGGCCAGGGGGCCAGATAACGCTGCCCCACCCCCAGCATGCCGAAGTCCCAGAACAATCACCAGGTTTAACTTTGTCCCCCGTTAAAAATAGCCCAGTGGTCACCCTGGTCAGGTTACAGAGGGTGGCTTTGCCCGTCCCCACCCGAGTTTTATTGTCCCAGCCTGAGGGACAGCTGTCCTTCAGGCCTCGCAGCTTGGGTTTCATTAGGGAGGCTGAAAGGGCGTTGAGTGGTCACTGGCTATTGTTACCCCGGGTCACCTTGGCCCTGGAGGGGGTGCCCACCTGTCACCCTGGCCCCGAGCCCAGCCTCAGTGAGGCCAGCTGTGTCACCTCAGGGCTTTGGGACAGGAAGGGAGGGCTGAGGTCTCTTCTTGGTGGCCTGGCTCCTGGCTTCAGCCTTCCCACCTGTGGGACAGTTGCTTCCCTCGAAAGCAGCCAAGGCCTGAGTCTGTGTCCTGAGACCCCTTTTCCTCCCTAGGTAGAGCAGCTGACAGAAGAGCAGAAAAATGGTGAGTGTCCCCTGCTGCACTGCTGGGGACAGCAGGGCCAGGCTGGGGGAGTCCCAGGAGAGGAGTCCCAGCTGGAGGCCAGAAGCTGGGCCCCCTGGCTGGCACCTCAGCGGTCTCAGAGGGAAGAAGGCAGCTTGGCAGCTGGCCCTCTGGGGTCCTGGCTGCTGAGACGCGCTGCTCTCTCTCTGTCCCCGGCCCCACCTTGTTGATGCAGAGTTCAAGGCGGCCTTCGACATCTTCGTGCTGGGCGCGGAGGATGGCTGCATCAGCACCAAGGAGCTGGGCAAGGTGATGCGGATGCTGGGCCAGAACCCCACGCCCGAGGAGCTGCAGGAGATGATCGACGAGGTGGACGAAGACGGTGAGCCCCGCCTGCCCGTCTCGCTGGGGTCAGGCCTGGCTCTGTCTGTCCAGTGGCTGTTTAGCCTGTTTGAGCCTCAGTTGTCTCGTCTGTCAAATGGGCATACTGACCACGCTCGCCTCCAAGAGGCGGTGTGAGGGTGCAGGGAGAACGTGGGGCTTGTGTCCAGGCCGCTGCCTCACGGCATGCCGCCCGCATCACAGGCAGCGGCACGGTGGACTTCGACGAGTTCCTGGTCATGATGGTCCGCTGTATGAAGGACGACAGCAAAGGGAAATCCGAGGAGGAGCTGTCTGACCTCTTCCGCATGTTTGACAAGTGAGCACGCTGCTCTTGACCTCTGAGCCTGCCACCCTGACCGGGCAGAACTGGGGCAGTGGGCAGCCTCCAATTTGAGATGAAGGGACCCTGTGTGAGGGGGGTGAGGGGTGCCTCCGGCCCTCCCCACAAGCTGCAGCCCCGGCTCCCCCTCAGAAACGCCGACGGCTACATCGACCTGGACGAGCTGAAGATCATGCTGCAGGCCACGGGCGAGACCATCACGGAGGACGACATCGAGGAGCTCATGAAGGACGGCGACAAGAACAACGACGGCCGCATCGACTACGACGGTGAGCGGGGGCCGGGGCCCTGCCGCCGTGCCCTGCCCGGCGGCCCGCTCACTGCCTCCTGGCCCTCTCTCCACAGAGTTCCTGGAATTCATGAAGGGTGTGGAATAGACCCAGCCTTCAGCGGGAGCCGCCCAGATGCTCCGACTCCAGCTGGGGTGGCGCCGGGGCGGGGCCGTGAGGGTCAGCCGCCCCTCGCCCCGACCCTGGATCCCTCCCCGGCCTGCGGTGTGAATAAAGCCTTGCCCCCCAGTGGCCTGCCTGCCTCTGACTGCCCCCTCCCGGTGCCCGCGCCCTTCCCGGGGTCTGCGCCTGCTCTGGATCCCCAGCCCCTGCGGGAAGCCTTGGAGTCTCTCAGGGCCTGTGGCCGTGCTCCACGCTCTGCACACTGCTTTCTATGGCTGAAGTAATGCATTCGCACAAGCTTCTGGGACGCAGCTGTGGTCAGGGCAGGTGGCAGCCCAGAGCTTCTCTCCTTGAAGGGAGCCGGCAGTGCAGTGCCTCTCAGCTCTGCCTGCGGGGAAGCTGGCCCTGTGGGACCCAGCAGGCCCTGGCTCCGACCCACAGAAACATCAGCTCCTGGGGACCGAGGGGCGTCGCGTCGGCCCTGCTTCCCCTCGCCCATTTCACAGGCGGGACCCCAGGGACCTCGAGAGGTGCCGGGACCGTGCAGGACACCCCGGAGTTTGAAGAAGAGTGAAGCTGCCTGGCTGGGGCTCTGTGTGATGGGCCGGTTCCTGTGACTCTTAGAGGCTGGCGGCTGGCAGGGGCCTCTGAGCTCAGTGCAGATTCCCCGGGCCAGAGCGGTGCCAGCACAGGGGGGCTCGCCCTGGGAGGCGGTGGGGGCTGCAGGGAGGCCGAGGTGTCAGCGGTGGCACTCCCAGGAGGGGCAGCTGCCGCCGGCACCCAGGCTCCAGCCAGAATGCCCGCAGCTGTCCCGGCCTCTGCACCTGTGCCTCCACCCAGGCAATTCCCCACACAGGCCTGGCATTCCAGAGACACTCTTGGAATTCTGGGGATGCTTCTGGTGGGGGCCAGAGCTGCCAGGAGCTGCCCGGGAGCCTCAGGCCTGCCCTGGGAGCTGGAGAACTCGGGGAGCCCTACAGACATGCAGGGGCAGCCAGAGAGATGAAAGGGCCACAGTGGACAGCCCCCGACAGCACACCCACCTTTTACTCACACACCTGCCATGGGCCTGGCCATGGTGGGTGCTGGGATGCATGAGTGAAGCCTGGTCAACCCACGGAGACCAAGAGTGAAGCGAGCGCAATGGGAGCACCAGTGTGGGGCTGGAATAGAGACTGCAGAGGCGTGCTGGGCCCGCAGGTAGTCTGGGAGGGCTTCCTGAAGTTGTTGATCCTTTGAGCAAGGCTTGAAGAACCACAGGAAACTGGCCACGGTGGGGCAAGGGAAAGGAGTCAAGCCTCCCTCAGCAGGTTTGGGAGAAGGGGGTCAGGGCCAGGCCCCACGAGAAACTCAGTCCAGGTGAGGGGGAGGTGGGGGCAGCAGGAGCCCCCCCTGGGCTGGGGCAGGGTGGGACGATGCTGTGGGAAGGGAGTGGGGTGCAGGGGCTCAGGGCACGTTTTGGAACCAGAACGGGCAGAACTTGCTGAAGGAATGGGCATAGAGGCAGGAAGTAAGAGGCGGGAGTGACTCCTAGACTTTTGGCCCAACTGCCAATTCCCGGGCTCTGGAAGCCGGGGAGGCACAGGTTCCACGGTGGGGTACTGGGAAGCGGAGGCCCCTGTGCTCATCTAGTGGGTTTCACATTTTGAAATCCCAGACTTGCAAAAATAGCACAGAAAGCTCCCGCTTGCCCTTCACCCAAGTTCCCCAAATGCTAACATCTGAACTAACCACAGCATAGCAAGCGCGCCCCGGAAGTCAGCACGGAGGGGGCGCTATTCCTTCACGTGCCCTCGTGCTGCCCAGCGTCCCCCCTACGTCCGCTCCGACCCGGGAGCCTGAGACCTCGCCAGCGGCCATGAGCTTCCCGGCCCCTGCCAGAGGGTGACACTTCCTCAGCCTCTGCCCCAAGACCCGGACCCCTCTGCAGAGCTCCCCCGCCGGTGGTTTTGTAGCTCCTCGCTCGATGCAGGTTTGCCCGGGGGGCCCCAGGACTGACTCAGGTGACGCTGTGCGAGTGCACGGAGGACGAGCAGACTCTTGTCCCTGTGTGCAGATGCCTCCGAGACAGGTGGCAGGGACATGAAAGCAGGTGGAGGCAGAGCGCGCAAACACAGCTATCACAGGCGCAAGAAGCCCGTTCCCAGCCCGGGCACGGAGGAGGCCCCCAGGGGAGCTGGAAAAGAGGGGTGCTGGGCTGGGTGCTGGAACCCCCAAACGCAGGCAGTCTGGGGGAAGGGACACGGCCACAGGAGGGAGAGACCCTCGGTGAGCCAGGGCCCAGCAGCCAGGAGGAGAAGAAGCAAGTGTGGGTGCCAGCGCGTGGCCCTGGGCCGTGGCCACTTGGGGAGGGTTTCAGCGAGCCTGCCTGGAGAGGGCTGAGGGGCAGGGCAGCTGGCCAGGCTGGACACCGGGACAGGCTGCCATGGAGAGGACCTGCGCTTAAGCAGAGGGAGCCGTGCCAGTGCTGATGGGGATAGCCAGTGAGGCAGGGATAGAGCGAAGTGAGGTACATGGGCGACCACGGCAGGCCAGCAGCCACAGGGCCTCCGGGCCCTTTTCCGAAGGGTCTGGTGACCACACTGGGTTGTGGATCCAAGCCGGGCCAGGAGAAAGGGGGGCTCAAGGCAAGCAGAGGCAGGCAGGTGGGTGAGTGGGGACAGTGGGGGACCAAGGGCAGTTGATGGTGTGCATACCTCATGCAGTAGAGGTCTCCCACGCAGAAGGTCACAGCCTGACCTGGAGGGCAGGTGGCCTGGGCTAGGGGGGAGAAAGGGATTGGCAGAGAGGAAGACAAGGACTCCAGAGGCATGGGGTGCCGCGCAGGGGCATCTGGGGAGGGGAAGAGAGGCGAGCTGTCTGTGAAGGAAGCGGGGGTGTGCACCAGCTCCAGAGAGGCCAGCCGTAGCCCCTCTGGCTGGGCCGGCCTCAGACCAGGGCCATGTGTGCCTCGGTTGGAGCCCCATGGAACTGTCCTCCGATCTCTATCAACGAGGCGGGTGGGCAAGGGGCTGTGACCTTCCATGTTCCCACCTGGTGGCACCTGCTACATGAACCTGCACATCACGCATGAATTGGCCCAGGGCTTAGAGTCTCCCAACAGCTCAGGGCATCTCTCCCTACACACATTGCCTAGTTCTGTTTCCTGCATTCAGTACTCTGCCTCTGGACTGTCATCCTTCCCCTGGGTAGTGTTTCCTCCATGAAGCCTCTCTTGATTTCCTCCATCAGCAGCAATCACTGGAGGTCTCCCACTGGCTCTGTGTGGTTGCCAGCTGTTGTCTGTCCCCTGCTTTCTGCTGCCCCACCATCACCCCACCACGGAGGGCCTCCTGCAGTTCCATCCTTGTCCACCAGATGGCACACAGTACATGTGGCTGGGCCTATAGATCCGTGGTCTGTTCCTACCTACCACCAGCAAGGAGGCCCCCCTGTAGAGAGCCTCTCCCTGCACCTTTAAACAGGGAGACTGAGGCTCAGAAGGGGAAAAGCCTCACAAAGGCCACCCAAGGTGAGAGTAGAGACTGGACTGCCAGCCTCTGCCACGGAGTGCGCCACCTCCCACGCCCTGCCTCAGTAGACCCTTCCTGCAGCCCCAGCAGGGGACCTGACAGGGCTGAGGCCCCTGGGGTGGACCGGCAGGCTCAGGAGAGCTTGGGCCTTGTGCCCACAGCTGGTGGCCACATTCTGGCTGAAGGGCTGTCCGGCTCGATCTCCAGCTACACCTTGGCCCCCAGCCTGGCTCCAAGGCGACATATCTCCCCAGGGAAACCGGGGCCAAGAACCCGGTAACCGGCACGGCAGCCCTTGCACAAGCTCTGCTTACCACATGATGAAGCCCGGTTACACCCAAGGGGGCTGCTCCATGGCCCCGGGAGGGGGAAGAGCGCTGGGCCCGGTTCTGCAGCAGAGGCAGAGGCAGAGGCAGAGGCAGGGCTGAGTTGAGCTGTGTAGCCTGGGCTAATCCTTTCCTCTCCGAGTTTCCTGACCACCATCTGCGACGTTCAACCACAGGAGCTTGTAGGTTCCTGGGAGCTTTAACTCCAGCTCAAGTTTCACGTCTCCTTGGTGCCCAAGGCCTCAGCTTCTGAATGTAGGGGTCTCAGTGGGAACCACGGGGACCAGGGGCACGAGGCAGTCCCCACCCTCAGCCCAGATTCTGCCCCTTACTCTCAGCCCCCACCCCACCCCTCTGGGGCTCTTCTACCCCCAGTCAGAGTTCAGGGCAGGGGGCATGAATTCTGCAGAGATTCTAGGTGCCCTGGGCCTGTGGGGCATGGGGGCTCTGCGAAGACCCCACCACTGACCTGGTAACCCTGAAGTCCTTGGGTTTCTGGAAGGAATGGAGGCCCGAGGGAGGCAAGGTAACCTGGGCATGGGTGGATCTTGTCTGCTACCCCAAAGCAAGCCCGGTGAGCTGGGATGGGGCCTGGTGGCTGTGGGCACTGCCAGATGGGGACAGGCCTGGGTGGGGGAGGCTGCATGCCATCTCTTGCCAGTCCCAGATTGTGAGGTGTGACTGGTCCTTAGCCCCTGCCCAGGACTTGGAACCCCTTCCGTGGGCCCTGCCAGGGGAGCTGCAGAGCCAAGAGCACAGGAGGAGCAGGAAGCAAAACAGAGCCCAGCCAGACCCCTCCCAGCTCCTTGACCTCCGACCTCCCTTCCAGCCTCTCTGCCGTTTGCCATTTTGCGGGAGCCTGGTGACCTGCGTCCTGTGCAAACTGTCCCTGCCCCAGCCGAGTAAGGGTCTCCTGCCATGGGGAACCACCAGCCGGACACGAGAGCACCCAGTAGGCCCACCAAGCTGCAGGCAAAGCTGCAGGTGGATGGGAGGCCCTGGCCTGCTCCCCGCCTCCTCCGGGCCTCCCCGCCCAGGGCTGGGTGGAGCCGGCGCCTTATAAGTGACTGCCTGGTGGCCAGCTCGCAAACTGCAGCCGGCGGCAGGACAGGACCAGGGTGGCCGCTCCCTTTCCCAGCATGGCCCCCTCGGCATGGGCCATCTGCTGCCTCCTGGGGGGCCTCCAGCTCAGCGGGGGCAGCCCGGGCCCCGGAGTGCCCCGTCTGCGGCTCTCCTACCGAGGTACCGAGGTACCGGCCACAGGGTGTGCCCTGTGCTTTCCCATGCACGGGCTGGAGGACACCTCGGGTCTGTCCTGCCAGCCCGAGGCATGGAGCCCCTCCCCAGCACAAGCTTGTGGGGGGGTGGGCCTTGTGGCCCTACCCCAGGCTGCAGGCAGAGGTGGGAGAGACAGAGCCGTGCAGGGTGGAGTCTGAGAGGGCTGCTGGGGAGAGACCCCAAGGGGATGGGACAGAGAGAGATGGCGAGCGGGCCGGGGAGCGGGGACACAGAGGGCGCGCTGGAGGGTCTGTCTGGGCACAGCAGGGGCTCTGCCCAGAGTGGACAGTGGGGGAGTGGCTAGCATCCTGTCCCTGCAGGCCTCCCCTCACTCCCCAAGTCCCTCCATCCTCCTGCCCAGGGAGGGTCTCTGCGGCAGGGTCCCCTCTGCCCTAAACTAGACGGTGGGGTTGCGGCTGCAGCTGCACAGCCTCCAACAGCCTCTGTGAGACACAGCTTCTTCTTCGGGAAACCAGAGGGGTGAACACCTTCCCCTGGGAGCCCCAGTCTGAGTGGGGGCCACTAGCTTGTTCTGGAGACTGACGGGGAATATGGTCCTGCCCTGGGAGCTGTGGTTGTGGGCAGAGTTCAGGCTAGAAGGGAGAGCCTCAAATAAGCTATCAGTCATGGGGGGCTTCCTGGAAGAGGGTAAGTTTGGGGAAAGGAGTGGGTGCTAGGGCAAGATGCTCCTGTTCCCCAAGTTTCCAAGGGCTGCTCGCACCCCCTTCTCACCACAGCCTGCCCCTTGCCCTCCCATCACCTCCACCTCCCCAGCCAGAGGACTTAGGATCCTCCACTCCTGGACCAGTGTCCCCACCCAGCCCCTCCCGTCTCTGGACCCAGCATGGGAAGTGCCTTTGGGCCACAATGCTGGGCTGGAGGCTGCACGTGGCCTGGCCATACCCTTGCCGGTGCCCTCTCCAGGCTTCCCTAGCACTGGCCCCAGACTGCTGCCCTACCCTCCACCAGGAGCTGTCTTCCCTGGGGATGGGGACTGGGGATGGGGACTGGGGGACTGGGCACAGCACAGATGGGCGGGGAGGGTGTTTGCTGTAGGACCAAGGGCTAAAGAATGGAGGAGTGAGATGTAGCCCTGGGTGGGCTGGGGGGCTCAGAGCCTCCAGGCCCCACCCCAGGTTGGCAGCTCTGGGAAAGAAGCATTTTCCAGCTGGGAGGGGGAGGCAGCTGGGGAGTGGCATGCACAGCTGGGACCCTCCCCCTCCACGCTGAGCGAGCCAGCAGGCCCTGATCCGCCTCCCTCTGCCCCTGCCAGACCTCCTGTCTGCCAACCGCTCTGCCGTGTTTCTGGGTCCCCGTGGCTCCCTGGGGCTCCGGGCAATGTACCTGGATGAGTACCGAGATCGCCTCTTTCTGGGGGGCCGCGATGCCCTCTACTCGCTGCGGCTGGGCCAGGCATGGCCAGACCCCCGAGAGGTAAGCTTGACCCAGCGGCAAGGAGAGTCCAGATGGGGAAACTGGGACGTTGAGCCCAGTGCAGTCAGCCAGGCTGTGTTGCAGGTCCTGTGGCCGCCACGGCCAGGCCAGAGAGAGGAATGTGTCCGCAAGGGGAGAGACCCTGTGGTGAGTGTTCTCCAAAGTGACCAGACCGTCCCCAGCCCCACTGGACCTCCTTCCTATTCCCCAGGACCCCGGGGCCTGCCTGAGAGGCGGAGAGCCCCCCTCACCCTGGGCACCGCTCTCCTTTCTCCACCAGACGGAGTGTGCCAACTTCATCCGGGTACTGCAGCCCCACAACCGGACCCACCTGCTGGCCTGCGGCACGGGGGCCTTCCAGCCCACCTGCGCCCTCATCACGGTCGGGCACCGAGGGGAGGTGAGCCTGGCCCCCACCCCGCCCCCAGGGCTGGGAGCCAGTGACATTTCCTCCCTGCTGCCTGAAGGCTTCCCATTGAGCCCCAGCGGGGACGGAGGGGCAGGGACCTGAAAGGCGCCTTTGTGCAGAGAGTGACCCCATTAGTGACGCCTTGCATGAGGGCACCTTCCCCCCGCCCCCCACTCTCCAGCCGCACGCGATGGCACAGCCACAGCCGCAGGGTGGTGGGGCTGGGGCTTCTCTCCCAGGTGACACCCTCCTGCCCCTCCCCCCCGCCTTCTCTGCCCAGCATGTGCTACACCTGGAGCCCAGCAGCCTGGAGAGTGGGCGGGGAAGGTGCCCACACGAGCCCAGCCGCCCCTTTGCCAGCACCTTCGTTGGTGAGTGATGCCCAGACCAGGGAGGGGGCGGGAAGGTGGGCGCTGGCTGTGGCCCTCCTCCCCTGACTCTGCCTTCTGCAACCCCCCAACCCCCGCTTAGGCGGGGAGCTGTACACAGGCCTCACGGCTGACTTCCTGGGGCGCGAGGCCATGATCTTCCGCAGTGGGGGCCATCGGCCGGCCCTGCGTTCTGATTCCGACCAGAGCCTCTTGCACGGTGAGGCCTATTGCAGGCAGGGCCATTGGGGTCTGCCTCGGGGTTGGCATGGGGAATGCTGGAGGCAGGGAGGAGGGGCCATTCCGCTGCCTGGGTCCTGGTGCTGCTTTTTGGGCCCCCCCATCCTCCTGTCTTTCTCGGACAACCCCCTGACCAGCGTCCCTGTCACCTGTCCAGATCCCCGGTTCATTATGGCTGCCCGCATCCCTGACAACTCCGACCATGCTGATGACAAGGTGTACTTCTTCTTCTCCGAGACGGTCCCCTCACCTGACGGCGGCCCGGGCCGTGTCACCGTCAGCCGCGTGGGCCGCGTCTGCGTGGTGAGAGCCGGGAAGAGGTGGTGAGGGTTACATCCCTACTGCAACCCCTTCCCAGGCCCGCTGCCCTGCCCCTGAGCAATGGGAGTGGGGGTGGAGGTGCGGGGTGGGGCCCAGCGAGTGGGGCCCAAGGCTGACCCCGGTTCCCTCCAGAACGACGCGGGAGGCCAGCGGGTGCTGGTGAACCGATGGAGCTCCTTCCTCAAGGCCAGGTTGCTCTGCTCCGTGCCCAGCCCAGGGGGTGCTGAGACCCACTTTGACCAGCTGGGTAAGGGCGGGCCTGGGCTCTGGGGGCGGGCAGGGTTCAGAGTCCCCGGGCAGGGGCAGTGGCGGTGGCCGTGATGGCTATGCCCCTTCTGTGTCCCAGAGGATGTGTTCTTGCTGTGGCCCAAGGTGGGGAAGAGCCCAGAGGTGCACGCGCTGTTCAGCACTGTCAGGTGAGCAAGGCCTCCCTGTGCCCCAGCTGGGCCCAGCCCCCACCCCTTGGCGCCTGCTGTCGAGCTTCTGACTTGCCACCTGCGTCAGGGACCTCTGCCTCCGTGTCCTTGTTTTTTGGAGTCTCTGCTTGCTACAGGCACTGTCACCCTCTTTCCCGCCTTCCCACCCTCGGTGGCCAGCCTGGCCTGAATGTCTCTGCCCTTGGCAGTGCCGTGTTCCGGGGCTTTGCTGTCTGTGTGTACCACATGGCAGACATCTGGGAAGTCTTCAATGGGCCCTTTGCCCACCGAGACGGTCCTCAGTACCAGTGGGGACCTTTTGGGGGCAAGGTGCCCTTCCCCCGCCCTGGCGTGGTGAGTACGTGCATAGGTCAAGGAGAGGCCTGAGGGAGGAGAGGAGAATAGCCCCATGGGTGTGCCTGGGATGGGTTCTGGGGGCCTGGTCCTGGAGGGGTGTGCTGAGTAGGGGAGAGCCTCTCCCACAGGGAGGGCGGGCCATGGGGGTGCAGACAGCCTGGGCAGAGAGCCACCCAGGACACATCAGGCACCCCCTTTGCTGCTGCTGCCTGCAGTGCCCCAGCAAGATGACCGCACAGCCAGGACGGCCCTTTGGCAGCACCAAGGACTACCCAGACGAGGTGCTGCAGTTTGCCCGCACCCACCCACTTATGTTCCGGCCCGTGAGGCCTCGGCGTGGCCGCCCTGTCCTCGTCAAGACCCACCTGGCCCAGCAGCTGCGCCAGATTGTGGTGGACCGCGTGGAAGCTGAGGATGGGACCTACGACGTCATCTTCCTGGGAACCGGTAGGAGAGCTGAGCAGGGGCTGGCAGATGCGGGGGGCAGGCGGCCCAGGCCGGCCCTTCCTCTCGTGCCGACCCCTCCTTCCCTGCCCCAGACTCAGGCTCTGTGCTCAAAGTCATGGCCCTACAGGCTGGAGGCTCAGCTGAGCCCGAAGAGGTGGTTCTGGAGGAGCTGCAGGTGTTCAAGGTAAGCAGGGGTCCCTGGGAGGCCTGAGGTCTGAGCCTGGCTACAGGGCAGCAGGAACGAGCTCAGGAGCAGGGGCCTGGGGCTGCAGCTTCGATCCCTGGGAGGCGAGTGCCTGTCGGCAAAGCCCTGCCAGGCTTGAGTCATGCTGAGGAGGTGGCTGACACCCCAATCCCCAAAAGGTTCTGTGAGTCCCTCTGTTGACTCAGGCAGGGGCTGGTCTGTGTTTGGGGGACAGCCAGGACTTCTGGACTGCTGAGGAGCGGGGCTGTGAGAGGGTATCAGCTGGAAGGCTGACTGGGATGAAGGTCCTTTCCTGGGACCTGGCATCTGGGAAAGGCTGTCCGGTACTGGTGGCCACGGGGCACACTGACCCTGGCTGGGAGATGGGGCTCCCATGCCTGGGATAGGAGGAGGCTCAGAGCAGGGATGCGATGGAGCTTGGGAAGCTGGGGGGGGCTGTCCCACCGACCCCATGCTGAGACTCTCCTCCCACCGCAGGTGCCAGCTCCCATCACGGAGATGGAGATCTCTGTCAAACGGGTAAGGGCGGCCGACTTCCCTCCCCACACCCCTACCTGCATCCTTGGCCGCCTCCTTGGGCACCACCGTAGTCCTCTGGAAAGCTGCGCTGAGGGCCCAGGGCCAGTGGGCCACTGGAGGCACAGAGGAAGCCAGGTCATGTTCAAAGGCTGGCTCTCGTCAGAAGCGAAAAAAGTGCTTAAAAATAAAACCCAAGTTTTAGTTTTTATTTATTTAAGATTTATTTGTTTCAAGTGCAGGGTGACAGACAGAGAGAGTGAGTGAGAAAGGGAGAGAGATCTTCCATCCTCTGGTTCTCTCCCCAAATGGCTGCAACAATCAGGTGTGGGCCCAGCTGAAGCCAGAAGTCAGGAACTCCATCCGATAAGGGTGCAGGGGCCTGAGCACTTGGACCATGTTCCACTGTCTTCCCCGAGGCACTAGCAGGGAGCTGGATGGGAAGCAGAGGAGCCGGGACTCCAACCGGCGCTCTGATATGCCATGCCAGTGTCAGTGTCACAAGCAGTGGCTTAACCTGTGCCACAACACTGGCCCCCAGATTTTAAGTCAAATAAAGGAGCTCTTTTTTAGAGACCTGCTATGTGTCCTTTCCAAGTGGCAATAAGAGGGGACCTCAACAAGCTCATGGAAAACGGAATTGAAAGATGTTTACTTTGGTGCAAAAAAAAATTTGAAATCCATGCATATGGATTTTGTGTATTATGAGAAAACCATACATGGATTTATAAACTTTTTTGTATTTAAGTACAAAATTCTGTTCCCCATGAACTTTTCCAAGTACCCTTGTACCATCTCCTCCAGTTTATCTTTGGGTAAATCCCAAGTTCTGAACTGGGACTGCCTAAAGCAAGGTGCTCTGAAGTCTGAGCCAGTTGGGTAAAGGCATTGGGGTAGAGGAAATAGGTCAGCAGTAGTGAGGGCCTGGAGGAGCCCCTTGGAAAAAAGACGAGGCAGAGGTGGGGGCAGGTGTTTCGTGCAGTGGTTAAGGCCCTGCTCGGGACAGCCACATCCCCTATCAGAGCCTGGGTTCAGTCCCAGCTCCACTCCTGATTCCAGCTTCCTGCAAAGCAGCAAATGATGGCTCAAGTACTTAGGTCCCTGCCAACAATATGTGAAACCTGGACTGAATTCTGGGGTTCCTGGCTTGGGCCTGATCTAATCCAGGCTGTTAGGGAGTGAACAAGTAGAAGGAGGCTTGCTCTCTATCTCTCTCAATTTTTTTTATTTATTTTCATTTCTTTGAAAGGGAGGGAGGGAGAGAGAGGGAGAGGGGGAGAGAGAGAGGGGGAGAGAGAGACCCCAGGCTAGCCCTTCACCTTAGCCCAGGGTCTGGTATACAGCAGGGGGGTGATGGATAGTTTTTACTCTTGTGAACAAATCCAGGAGGTTCTGGAAGTTCTGGTTCCTGAAGGGGCAGGAGTTTAGGAGCCTGCTCACTGCAGGATCTGCTTGTGTCTCTAGCAAATGCTGTACGTAGGTTCTCAGCTGGGTGTGGCCCAGCTGCGGCTGCACCAATGTGAGACTTACGGCAGCGCCTGCGCTGAGTGCTGCCTGGCCCGGGACCCGTACTGTGCCTGGGATGGCACCTCCTGTACCCGCTACCGCCCCAGTCCTGGCAAGCGCCGGTTCCGCCGGCAGGACATCCGGCATGGCAACCCTGCCCTGCAGTGCCTGGGCCAGAGCCAGGAAGGTGAGTGGCAGCAGGTGTGGAGCAGGGACTGCCCTATAGACTCCCGACTCAGCCTGTGGCCCGCCCTCACTCCTGGGACAGCGGCCTCAAACTGTTCCTGTTGCAGCAGTCCTCAGTTTCCCTGTCTGGGCAGCTCCCATCAGTGTGTGGGTGCAGAGTCTTTGGACACAGTGACTGGCGAGGGTAATTGGGGGGAGGGTGTCAGGTCCCTGTCACACTGGTGGCATAGTTCCTGGGCTGTGGGAATCAATTTGTGACCCTGAGGGCCTAGGTCCCCTAATTCCAAACTTTGGCCAACTTGCACTTCTCTGCAGACGAGGCTTGGGGACTTGTGGCCACCACCACGGTCTACGGCACAGAGCACAACAGCACCTTCCTGGAGTGCCAGCCCAGGTCACCCCAGGCCGCCGTGCGCTGGTTCCTGCAGAGGCCAGAGGATGGGGGGCCTGACCAGGTGAGTGAAGACCCTGTCCCAGCCCTGTGTGTCCTGAGCTCACCTCTGTCCCTGAACCCCTGGAAGGTTCCACCTAAGAGAGATGTGTCTCTGGCCTCTGTTTCTGCCATCTGGCAGGGGCGAGGGCAGGGGGTGTCAGGCCAGTCCAACTGGAGCTCTCCCTCTCTGAGGGGCAGGGGGAGAGGGAGAACCAGGTCTGGGCTGGACAGGAAGACTCCCTGTTCACATGTACATGGCTCATCTCTGGCGGGTCTCAGTTCTCTGATCACTGGTCCTTGCCTGCCCCCCATTCTTGGCCCCATACTTCCCCCTTGGAGACCAGCTGTCTTCCCAGGCCCCTTCCTCCCCACTCTGGAAAGAACCGCCAGCCCCAGAGATGGCTTCAGTCTGGGGCCCAAAGCCCCAGATGGCGTGGGCTGGGCAGAGTGAGGAGTCTTCTCCCACAGGGCTGGGGAGGGGAAGGAGTCGATTGCAGGAGGGGCTCGCCCTGCAGCTTGGGAACCGGGGGAGGCCGGCCTTGGGCCAGCTGTTGGGCTGGGCACCAGGAAGACTTCCAGAGGGTGGAGGAGCAATAAGATGGAGTTACACAACCCTAACCACCCAAGCCGGCCCCCCACAGCCTGCGCACGTGCAGACAAAAGCTAAATGGGGCCCAGGCCACAGACTGGCTGGGATGAGAGCAGCCCTTCTGTTGCCAGCACCCTGTGGCCTGGTGTGAGCCTGTGTGCACGGAAGGGGACAGAGTGGAGGGGCGTCCCCAAGCCTGGTCCTGAGGAAAGCAGTGGACAGCCTCCCAGCCCCTGTGCCATGGAGGGCTGTGCACCAGACCCCTGGAGGCCAAGCTTGTTGCCCCAGAGCTCCAGCTGTGGGAGAAACCCATCAGCCGAGGTGGTGCAAAGCCCCAACTGCGGGCCCTGTCCGGGGAAGGTGAGGCCCTGCCTGTGGTTAGCTCACAGTCCCCCCCAAGAAGGGGAGAATGGGCAAGGGGAAGAGCCCGAGCCCTGGGCCCTGACAGGGGCACACGTGGAAGAGCAGGGAGCAGAGATGCTGATGGCTGCCCCCTCTCCCAGCAGGTAAAGACGGATGAGCGAGTTGTGCAAACAGAGCAGGGGCTACTGTTCCGCAGGCTGAGCCGCCTCGACGCCGGTACCTACACCTGCACAACGCTGGAGCACGGCTTCTCCCAGACCATTGTCCGTCTGGCTCTGGAGGTGATCCTGGCCACGCAGCTGGACAGCTTGTTTCCGCGGGAGCCAAGGGTAGAGCAGTCCCCAGCCCGGGGCAGCCTGGCCTCTTCCCCGCCCAAGGCCTGGTACAAGGACATCCTACAACTCACTGGCTTTGCCAACCTGCCCCGGGTGGATGAGTACTGTGAGCGCGTGTGGTGTGGGGGCCTTGGGGAGCGCCCAGGCTCCTTCCGCAGCCGGGGCAAGCAGGCCAAGGGCAAGAGCTGGGCAGGGCTAGAGCTGGGCAAGAAGGTGAAGAGCCGGGTGCAGGCGGAGCGCAATCGGACTCCGAGGGAGGTGGAGGCCATGTAGGAGTGGCCGGAGAGGGGGGATCAGGATGGGCCAGGGGAGCCAGAGAAGCCCCTGGCATCTCCCACCCAGCCAGCAAGGGCAGGGGAGGCCAGGATGCCTGATTGCCACCCACAGGAAAGACCAGGGGCCCCATGGAAGGGACCTGTGCCTGACGTGAGTCCCTGCTCCTCTTTATGCTCTCAGTCCCAGGCTGGAGCCAGCACCCTCTGGCTGCTGGCAGCCCCCAGGGGCCCTGCCATTTGTTCTCAGAGATGGCCTGACTTCCGGAGTACATTTCCGGTTGTGCCCAGAGGCAGAGGGTTGGGTAGTTTTTTCCCAGCCTAGTGAACAATGGCCATTTCAAGTGACTCTTAACATGGGTGGTGGCTCTAAGGAGGCCCTGGGCCTGGGGCCCTCAGGCAGCCAGAAGAGGTTAGGGTGGCCTCTAATCCAGAGCCTGTTAAGCAGAGCCCACCCTGGAGGGGCTGGAGAGGAAAGCAGCCATGCCCAGCTATCTCAGTGGCTCCCTGCTGGGCCCACTTCTCTTTCATCTCAGAATCTCCCAGGGCCTACGCCTTGGGCTCTACTTTATACGCCAGCGAAGGAAGGAGGTCCCACAGTCCTCCACGGCCCCACCATCAGGGCTGCAAGCTGACCCACAGGGGCAGGGTGGGTTCAGAGAATGTCATCCCTCATCTGCACATCCTGCAGGTGGGAGAGGGCACCTGAAGCAGGCGGGGTAGGAGGACACGGCTGTCTCAGCCGGGGCAGTGCAAGCACATGGGCTCATCGTGTGGAGGCTGTGCCAGCTGCAGCCGGTGGTCAGCTTCAAGGCGGAAATGAGAATCGAGAGGTGCTGGAGATGAAGTGAGAGTGGGAAAAACCCCCAGATGGGCTAGGGGACCGAGGAGCAGGAGTCCTTAGGGAATCAAGGTGGCTTTAGGATGTTTCCAAGTCTGGAATCTGTATTTTCCACTAAGTAAGAGCTGGGCATGGGTGGTTCATTTACCCAGCCTTTGTGTCTTCTAAGGGAAACAAATGTAAAGGTGAAAAGCTATGAAGAGCTGTAAGTCCTGCTGTTTCTGGGAGTGCAGGGAGTGCGGTCACCATCAGCAGTTTCCTGGGCCGGGGAGCCCTGATGTGGGGAGGACTAAATGAAAAGACACTCCCGGCCTGCACAGGAACTAGGCAGTGACGCACAAACAGGAGGGAGACAACGCACCGGGCTTGAAATTCCCTCCAAGAGGAAGAAAGGAAGGAGGGGGAAACAAGAGGAAAAGCAAGACAGGGCTTCCTGCCCCTACTGAAACTCCAACCCAGACAGCTTTGGGAGTCCAGTCCCCCATCCTGGGTGCTTCCACGGTGCTGGGATGGGAAACAGCCCCGTACCTGCTCCCCTTTCATTGGGCAGCAAACCCCAGGCACCCAGATTAGCCTGATACTACCTTGAAATCCTGTGGTAGGGTGCAGCCTGCAGGGAAGGCAGAGGTCAAAGCAGAGGAGGAAGGGGGTGGGC